GAGCTGCTAACTTGCCTGTTGTACCATTTCTAACACATAGCTTGTAAGTCTGACTCCAGTTTCATGTCAGCCTTCCGATACGATGAATCCATGAAATTAAAATCGCAGACGCATCTTGCGTTCTTTGCACTCAGGGAGCCCAGGGCCAGTGTGCTACACACTCCCACTCTCCGGCCACCTCTCCTCTCTGCAGCCTTTCAGGGCACGTAAGGCTGCGGCCCTCCTGAGACATCTGATAGCTGGTTTCCTATACCTTGCACAGCAGCCTCACCACTGTTCTCACCAGAAAAATGCCACCGCCGCACTCCGTCCACATTCATCTCCCTTTCGGCTCCAAGTCCTCACTGCCATCTTTAAGAACACACCAAAACCAACTAAAATTTGCAGCGTCCCCTTTAAATTTGGATGGCACAACTTCCTCAAAACCATGACCTGATAAATAACACGTTTTGTTTTTGTTCTTGAAATGCCAGAGTTCCCCAAGGTGGGGAGAGACGCCCGTGGCCACTCCTGCCCTGAGGTCCCCCAATCACGGTTCCCTCAGGAAGGGGCCCAGGGCTGGACCCCGCTCCCTCTCTGGTGCCCCCACCTGGCAATGCAGATGAAGGAGTAAAGTTACGCTTTCCCCAAGTTTCCAAGGTGACATGGGAACACTGGATCCTGCGCTACCCCAACAAAACAAAACAAAACAAAACAAAAAAACCCTTCCTGCCTGCCAAATCTGATACCAAGAGTTACCCAGCTCTTGGAACTAAGCTTCTACAGAAAGTGCATTAGTGGGAATCTTAACAGAAAACCCATTATGTTCCCGCTGTCACTAAAACTTCTGAAAAGTTCTTCACTTCAGGAAAAACTCCTTTACTTTAATACTGATACTGCTGGAGAAAATTAAGCACTATTACAGTTCCTCTCTGGGGAGGGGGCGGATAACCAAAGACTCAAACATCGGCCTCCTCCTCCTCCTGTAGACCACCAAAGGGCACAGTGCCACACATCAAAACAGCAGAAGTGCCCACCCCAATTAAATCCACCAAAAGCATGAAATCCCAGGCAGGGACAGTGGATAATTAAACTGAAAGTTTAAAGGGTCTGCAGTTTTTTGCAGTGCTTCCTGTACTGCGAGCCAATTTTTTAAAATGCGTATCCTAATTATACATTCTCTTTGTGTCAACATCTCTTAATACATAAACAAATCATAAAGAGGATCAAAGTGCACTTTTAATATAGGCCAGGAATCCGGATGCTGTTCTCCTTAATGGGTGTTCTCCTGTGTAATTTCAAACACTCCTTTGTTGCTTTGGTAATTTTCTACGCACAAACCTTCTTAGGTCTGTTTTGCTTTGGCTCTGGGGACTGAACTCAGGGTAGGCTCTGTACCTCTACCACAGAGGTACCCACCCCCCAGCCTGGGGACAGAGTCTGAAATTAAATAAAGAGAAAAACAATGGCTTTTGGAGCCTGGGGCACGGTTAGCAATGCAGCAGCGAAGGCATTTTTCTTAAGAGGGTTTGTGTTTTGGTTTTTTGTTTTTTTGTAACTCAGGAGCCCCTTTACTAAAGTGCCCTTCCTGTGTGTAGTCATGGTTTCGAAGGAGTATGTGTGAACAGAATTCCTGGATTTCTTAGCATCTCCCTGGAGAACACCCTAAAGCCTGCTGTCCTTTCTGATCTCCTTTGTGCCCCGCAGCCTGTGACCCAGCAAGGAAAGGACACATCAACCCATTTCACAGACAGAAAGTGGGCTTGGGGAGCCGGCGGCCGCCCACGGTCCAGGTAACACAGGCAGATCAGACCCCAGAAACTCGGCTTCCTGACTGCACCAGGGCGCTGTCTGGCTTTCTTCTGCGAAGCGCTATTTCTGTAAGGTTTCTCTTTCAGGAAGGGAAACAGGGCGTCACGTGACTTTCATTCACAAGGCCTGTGTGTTTTCATTAGCACCTCGGCAGTCTCTTCCGGCAGGGAGGGGGTTGCGGCAGGGAAGGAACCCCCTGGCTTCCGAAAAGGTGCAAATTCCTTCAGGGCTTCAAAGGCAGCCCTTTTGAGACCTAAGTCATGATTTCACTGTTCCTTCAGAAGCCTGTCCCTATCTCAGAATCTGACTTCAGGATATGAATGGACTGCCCTTTATCAAACAGAATTTAAACAGAGATGCTTTCTGTGGTAATGCTTATCTAATCTGTATTTTACAGATGTGTAACCCAATTTTAGAATAAAGGGAGCAAAACCAAAAGAAGTTATTTTAGGGGGGGGATAAACCAATCCGTGATCCTAAGAAATATGCCAGTCTGTAACCTGAACTCAAAAAATACATGCAGTTGATTTTTAAAAGCAGCTTCAAAATACCGTAAATTCGACAACGTGTTTCCAGTTCGCAAACAACAGATCCCTAACAGCCTGGTGAGATACGCACCCACACAGCTCAGTGGCCGGTTAGCCAGGCGCCGCAGCTCTGCAACTGGCTCTTGACTCACGACCCTACCCCTACTCCCAACTCTACTGTAAACAAGCGCCTTCCCGCAGGGCCAGGCCTGCAGGGCTCGCTGACCAGGTATGCAAACAAGGGCCCCCCCTCAGCCACCCCAAGTTACTCTGCCTCCTCCTCGCTGGCAAGGCTTTCCCGCGGAGCTGATCACCCCTACGGAAGCCCACACCACTTCTGAAAGCCCAGGCAGAGCTGCAGGCCGCCAAGAAGTGCATTTTCTGTTCCATCTTCAAAGAAATGCTTTGCAAGTCTGACTTCCACAAACCCTTCTCTCAGAGGGCATTCTCTACGTGAGCTTTTAATCTAGGAGCAATGCAAACAGATTCCTACCTGACGTGCGAGTCGCGCAGGAGTGCTTGCTCACCCTGTGTGTCCAGGCACTCTCAGAAGCACAGCACCGCGCGCCACCCCAACCAACACGGCACCTGCCTCTTCTTCCCCCCTCTGTTCTATTCACTCACTGGAAATCCAATGTGGCACATGCGTTTTTTTTAACATGTGACTTTGGTACAGTTATCTACTCTTCTTTAAAATAGCCCTTTTCCTTTTTAGAAGGATGTTTACCATAGTACCCACACACAGCAGAAACACCAACCAAAAGGACCCTTATCATTGCTCACCGTCCCTGGAACACACAGACTGTGCGGATTTCAGCATCGTGAATGCTACAGGCAGAAGGGAATTGTACACTGGTGGGAAATACTAACCCAGTCGAGCTAAATAAGGTATCTGAACAAACTCAACCTCTTGCGGTTCAGAATTCTCACGAGTCTACAAGAGCATTTATCACCAAGACTCAGAAGGGGGCGGGCTGTGAAACCCACTCCTGGGCCCACCCCGACCCTGTGGCTCACCCAAGCCCTCCGCAGAGAGCAGGCAGAGGTGTCAGCTCTGAGGTTGTTTTTCTGACTGCAATCAGATTTGGGCAAAAGGTAGCTCTTCCTGCTCACACTGGCCCGGGTCCACGCGGGCATACCAAGCCTGTGCATGTGTCTGCGTGCGCACACGCGTCTCCTGCTCGGGTACTAGGGCTCCTGTGTTTACATCTGCGTCTGCACCTCCAATGGGAGCTAATCCTTCAATTCCCTGACACACCAGCGATTCTGTAGTGTCTAAGGTAACTCCCAGCCGAGCGGCTTCAGCTAAGAGTTACCATCAAGGAGATACAGTCTGAGGACTTGCAACTGACTTACCAAGATGCTGAAGTGCTATGCTGCCTCTAAGCCACTGTGACTTTTCATCTCGTAGTCTAGTTTTAATAAGGAGGGAGTCCCTTTTCCTCATACACCATCACAACAGGGTGTTCGAGCCTACCGCCGCAACGTGGAATCTCGCGAAGGAAAAGTCCCAAATAGTAAGGGGCAAAGGCTGCATTTAGAGAGCGTCAGACTGGTCTGTTTAAGAACAAGAAGTGAAAGAGGGATGCCAAGCCCCCTTGGTCACCACCTAGGGGCCCTCTCAGGCTGTACCTGGGTCAGAACCCCGCGGACCCTGCAAGTCACACCACCAGCTACACCGGCGTGGCTCCCGCAGCCCATCCCAAGGGCAGGGCCTCGGCTGCGACAGACACTGGGTGTGAATGCCAAGCCTTCCCTCACCACACGCCCGGCACACAGCCCAAGACCCCAGGGCCACCGCAGCTGCACAGCAAGACCATCCAGGGACACGAGCCTGACGTTCTGGAACAGTCCTGGGTGTTACTCTCTCTCGTTCTCTCTAAAGCCCTGACTGAACCCTGGCTGCACACTGCGACCATCAGGAGCTCTGACGGCTCTGCTCAGCGCCCTCTGGTCAGCCCTCAGCCCTTCGTAGGTCCGGCTCAACCTCCCAGGTGCACGTCCCCTGTTCCCTGATCATCAGCGGCAGGTCAGAGGGAGCCTTCCTAGCCTCAGCCAAAGACCTCCCTGCTGCAGACACTAGGGGTCTGCCAGCACAGTGCCCATGGGCAGTGGCCCTCCAGGTGACAGTGGGCATGCCCAGGTGACCACCACGGCTGCTGTACCCATTGAGAAATGCGATGCATCTGCTGGACACGCTCCCACAGGTGTGCCTCCACCTGAAGTGGCGGCACGGGTCACTTCCTTCAGCAGCCGCCACCCCCAACACGAACTTGGGGGGCTCTGGTGTAAGCCCAAGTCTCAGCACAAAGTCCCCGGGCCGGGCTCCTGGCACACAAGAGAGGGGGGCCAGTGCCCTCTGGCCCCTTCCCAACAGCCCCCCAACTGCCCAGGCCTGCGTTTTGCCACCTGCCTTTGGCCGAGGGACCTGGGAGAACTTCCTGCCACCCTACAGGAGGAAGGGGGCGAAGTTCCGAGACAGGTAGGCCTGAACAAGATGCGAGTGTCAGAGCAGCCCCAAGGCCACCTGACTGCCCGACACGCTCCTTCAGAGAAGACGAGCACATGGCAACCCACAGTGACGAGCACAGCCAGTACGTCAGCACCCGCTCACAGCACCCACAGGGGGGGAGCTGCCCTGTTGCCCACCCGAGTTCCAGACTCAAAGTCAAGGGGCCTCACCTTTCACAGCTGTGGCCCCCTTCAAGTGATGGGACAGGAAGTCGAGGCTGGCGTAGGTGCTGGTGGACGGCAGGGTGCCAGGGCCCGGGCCCCCACACGCCCCACTGGTGCCGCTGCCTCCCACGGTGCCGAGGAGACCCCCAAGGCTACGGGTCCGGCCCCAGGAGCTCTTGTCCCCTGGCTGCAGATGCTGCGTCTGCGGGGACAGCCCCGCCTCGTCCCGCACGTTGATGGCGATGTAGTTGAGGCCTTTCGGGAAACCCGCGGAGGTCTCTCTGCGCATTGGGGAGCCGCCACCCCCGGGACAGCCAACCAGGCCCCCAGGTGGAGCGGCGGCCCACGGCCGAGCCTGTGGCTGCGGGGGCGCGGGGAGTGACAGCTGTGAGTGTCCTGGGGACGTGAGTGGCTCGTCACCGCCGCGGAGGCCCCCGCCGAGGGTGCCAGCGCTGCCGCCCTCGCTGCTCTTCCTGAGAGAGACGTTTTCCACCGAGGCCGAGCTGTGGCGCTTGGGGTTGTGGGCAAAGGATGGGGACACGGGGGTGACCGTGGTGGTGGAGGAGAAGGTCTCTGAACTGTGGCGGCGGCGACCGCCCTGCGGGTCTGCACGGATGACCTTGGCGCCCCGGTGAGGGTCGGGGGGCTGGCTGGCCTGCAGGAAGGCCTCCACCCCTGACACCTGACCCATGAGACTCAGCCGCTTCAAGCCCGAGGTGGGGCTGCTCACGCGGGTGCCCTCCGGCTGTGGGGGCGCGGCGATGGGTTGTGGCGGGGTGGCTGCCACACCAAAGGCCATCTCGGTGTAGTCACCATTGTCACCAGCCTCAGAGGATGTGGTGACTGCAACGCCAGGGCCCTGGGAAGCAGGGGCAGCGCTGGGCGCCAGAGGCAGGCGGTATAGCTCCCCTGGGGGTGGTGGCAGGGTGGGCTGCTGCAGGGAGGAGGCCGGAGAGGCCGAGGGGCGCGGGGGCAGCGGCGGGAATGGGGACGTGGCCTCAGGGGACGGGAGGGCATCCAGGGAACCCACAGGGTCCCCGCTGTGGGTTCCCGGCTTGGGGGACTTGGGGGAGCTGAAGCCCAGGTTCATGTAGTCAGACAGCGGGGAGCGCTGTCTGCTGTCACTGCTGGTGCCAGGTGTGCCTGAGCCCAGGGACGAGGCTGGGCTGCTGGCGGACAGCAGCGAGGAGGACGAGGCCGCAGAGGCCAGCAGCGGAGGGGCTGGCGGCGACAATCGGGCGCCTGCCTCCCCAAAGTCGATGTTGATATACTCGCCGGGGCTCTTGGGCTCCGGGGGCATCGGGTACTCGTGCATGCTGGGCAGTGTCTGCAGCCCCTCTAGGGACAGTCGTGTGGGGCGCACTGCCCGGCAGCGCTGGCCAAAGAAACCCTCGGGACGCCCCCCACCACCGCCTCCTGGCCGCATGGGGGAAGGCACTGCCGTGGGGTGATGAGGCTGGATGTGGCTGTCCCGGCCGGTCCCAAAGGCGCCGCTCAACGCTGCGGGCCCTGGGGCAGCCGAGGAGTCCAGTCTCTCCTCCTCCAGGATGCGGCCCACGGGAGAGCTCATGAGCACATACTGGTCACTGTCCGCACCGCCACCACACAGGTAGGGGGCCTTGTAGGAGCGGGGCAAGGAGCTGTAGCACGAGCCGGGAACGCCTCTGAGCCCCTCCCCTCCGCCTTGCAGGGCTGCAGAGAAGAAGTCAGGCGGGGTGCCCGCTGGGCCCGCCTCGCTGGGGGACATGTTGAGGTAGTCCCCGTTGGCCAGCAGCTTGGGGTCACTGCTCTCCACGGATAGCTTGGAGCCACACCACATGCGCATGTACCCACTGTCCTCAGGAGAGCTCTCCGCAGGTGACCCGGCCTTGTAGCCACTCACAGTCCCTGGGAAAGTCCTGCTAGCCGGAGAGGGGGCAGCCGGCACCGCTGCCCCCGAGGGGGGCAAGGCCACGGCCGGGACAGCCCTGGGCTGCAAGATCTGCTTCGGAGCAGACACACTGGTGGGGCTCATGGGCATGTAGTCGTCGCCACCACTGCCCAGCAGGGCCGCGCCTGGGGTCATGGGCATGTAGCCATCGTCCGTCCCCAAGTTGCTGCTGGAGCTCCGGTGAGAGCCGATCTCGATGTCCCCGTAGTCCTCCGGGTAGGGGTGGTAGGCCACTTTAGGGGAGGGCGCGGGGAAGGGCGGACACAGGCGGCCCGAGCTGCCGGAGAAGGTGGCCCGCATGAGCGTGTACTCATCCAGCGAGGCGGATGACGGCTGGGGCACCGGGCGCTGGCGCGAGGGCGTGGTCAACGAGTAGGTCCGCTTTCGGAGCCCCCGGTCCAGGTCGTGCGCCGCGTCCCCCGAGACCCTGCGGTAGGGGCGGCCGCAGGGGCCCAGCGGCCTGTCCATGCTCATGTACCCATGCAGCTCGCCCGCGCCGCCGTCCCGCGCCGGCGGCGTCTCCGCGATGGACTCGGGCGTGTCGCTGCGGTGGCTGCAGAAGGCTCTGAGGTCGCCTGGGCTGGACCCGTACTCGTCCAGGGACATAAAGCCGGGGTCGCTCGGAGAGCCCGAGGCTGAGGCGCTGCCGCTGGAGGGCCGCTGGCCCGGCGGGAGGTGGAGGGGGTGCGGCAGCGGCGGGGCCGGGCCAGGGGGCAGCGGG